TCAAACAACCTAGCTAGGCGTGCAAGCATACAGATTGAGAGAACTGATGCCTAAACTCCTTTCTCTTAGTGATACTGTCCTTAAGACCTAGGATCGTTGATCTTGATGGCCAAAAGAGGATGCTTGAGGAACAACTCAACATATTAGTAGAGGGCTTAAGCTCTTTCCCTATCACTGGAGGTCTTTTGAAACTTATGTCAGTATCAGAATGAGAATAGAATTGGACTTCTTTGTTGATTTCAGGGTGCAATTAAATGTACATTAGAAGGAATCCAACCAATACTAGGTTTTTCGCTCACTATCACTTCAATTTAGCCATTCGCTCATTTAATGCTAGAGGCTGACTGCTTAATATTAAAGAGATGGTCCACTAAAGTTCAGTTTCTAACAAGTGGAAACATATTTCGCTCGCAATTCATCCCAAGTATAAGAGTGACTAGTGGATCATCTAAAACTTCTAAAAATGTTTTGAACGGTTTACCAAAATCTTTCAGCAGAATTTACTAACTTCACCTTTGCTAAATGAATATCATCTACATCATTCTAAGTGGTAATACTAAAAGTAGTCATATATAGTACTAACCCGATCTAAAAAGACTCCAACATCTAAATTCCTATCAAATGTAGATGCATCAACCTTGACCCTTTACTAAGATTAGCATGCTCATCTTGAGAAAACCTAGTGTTGTCATGATATTGTGGATAAGCTTCTTGACCTTGTGCTAGGAAACCCTTAGCATTCTACTACTGGAGAAAGTATAGAAAAGGAAATTCATTCACTGAGGGTTAGGGTTAGGGTTTGACCAAATCAAACCCTAATTGATGAAGACGATCACAAGATTGCCGCTGCAAGTCATAAAATCTGGGCAATTTCTGCCCCTTTGCCGTTTATCCCTATCACTTACAGGTTATTAATAGATCATTTTTCTATGCAATGTAATTATCGAATAAAATCAAAATTATTTACTTCTAAAGTCTTCTCTTTTCTCTATTCTCTCTCCTTTTTCCTCTCTTCTCTTCCTCCTTTTTATAAATCAGAAACCAGGGCTTCTGGCAAGGTAGTATCAAAGCCACAACCGGCTGAATCGTATGTTGGATCGCCTCACACACTCGATCTAAGGGGAAGGCAAAACCGAGGTGGTCGAACTCATTGTGAAGGACGTAGACCATACACTTGCCACTTTCATGGATGCCATGTATGAAATGAAGCGTGAATCCCGCCAACAGTTCAACACGATCATGGAATGGCTTCGTAGGAAGTCATCTGGAAAAAGGCCGAAGCAATGGTAGAATCGTGCGAGGATGAAGGTCTCCTCCCTTTGCCGAGCGGCACGCAACAAGGAAGCCCAAGAACGGGTTTAGGATTTCAGATATATATAGGGGACGATTCACTTGAGAAAAACAAAATTGGACCAATGGGGGAGGTGGACCGAATAGGGTCGACCCCAACCTACTTGAACTGAATCGGCATAGTGTTGAACCGAAACAAGTCCAAATCGAACCGATAGACCCACTAGATCGAACCAAACCGCCCAACCGAACCAGTTCAACGTAAAATTTCTCACTCCCTAAAGTGGAAATTCCTCTTTTTGAAGGAACAAACCCCGCGGGTAGGTTATACGGTCGGAGAAGTATTTTTTGGCCCACATCACAAGGGAGGAGTAGAAACTTGAGGTTGAATCGCTATTTCTGCATGAGATTGCATATGCATGGTGCCATGAGTGACTAGAAAAAATTGACGCAATCAAATGGGAGTACTTTGTGGAAGAGCTTTGTCGAAAATTTGGAGGACCATCCTGAAATGACTTCATAGAAGAATTCAACAAACTATCGCAAACAAGTACTATTCTAAACTATCAGGTTCAATTTGAACACTTACGCGCTCTCATGAATCAGATAACCCCATTCTTTTAGAGAAACTTTTTATATCTAGTTTTATGAGTAGCCTCAAATCGGAGTTGCAACCTGTGATAAGGCTACTCAAGTCTCATACGCTTAATCAAGCGTTTGACCGAGTCTTGCTATAGTAACAATCTATAATTGAAATAGCGAGGAGTTCCCATTTCCATGAAAGAACCACCTATGCTTCAGGAGCTTCAAGAAGAACGACGAATCAAAATTTTGATCGTCTAGGAACAGAAATCGAAGCGAGGAGATCAATGACCTCTTGTTGAATGTGGTGTTGTTATTTCTCAGGATACCGTTGCCAAAACAAAACCATGAAGGGGGTGGAAAAAATTTCCAACCAAGGAGAATCAACAACAGTGAAGGAAGAAAATCCAACAGGAATCCTATCCATACAAGCTACAGAGGGTATTTCGACAGACAATACTCATAAAATCATAGGGACACTGTCAAGCTACAGAAGCTAGACAACAGAAACTCTCACTCATTCTTGAATTAAGAGGTGGCAAAAGGAGTGAAAACTCGAGTCGTCAATGACAAACCACTAACGGTGATGGTAGCTAATGGAAAAAAGATCATTAGCAGCGTTGCATTACCAGATGTGACATGGATCATGCAAGGCTATAAATTCATATATGATTTTCGAGTCATTCAACTTGGTGGGTATGATATGATGCTGGGGGGTGGA